CCCCAAAACCCCAAAACCCCAAAACCCCAAAACCCCAGCAACACGAGATTTGATTGAATTCAGAATTTATGCTGAAATGAAGTTGGAATTTGTTTTATCCAATTTTAGAGGGTTTTTAAGAGTCTGGAATCTGGATTTAGGACCTATAGCATTATTATACCGTAAAATGTCTGCGAGAAGTTCAAAAATACGTGTAAACTTCTTCCAAAAAAACTTATCATAAAGTTTCTAGTAAGATAAATATGGAAACAATCTCTATTGTCTCATCTGCCTCCTCTCAGACTCTTTAAGACTACAGATCTGAGCTATTTCTCTCTTATTTGTCTCTTTGAAACCATCATTGCTTGAAATGGCTTCAGGAATAATATTTTTGGTTATTTAGGAAATCTGGAAGTATGAAAGTAAGAGTTTACTCAGAAAGAGTGAAGGGAGGATTTTAATGAATAATTTAGAGATAATTCTTAGGCTTTTGGAGGCTTAATGATGTTTTAAGGGCATTTTGAGGCTTTCCAAGTCAATTTTGAGGTATTTTTCAGGGGTAGGGATGAAAGTGGAGAAATATTAAAATTTTTATGTTTTTGAGAGTATAGCATAGGACTATTAAGTTTATTTGAGGGCTGAGAGAGTTTTAAATGAAGATTTTGAGTTTAAAGTTGGATTTTATGTCAAAGACATTTTTCAGAGTCTTTTTATGAGCACAATGAGTCGATTTTTATTGTATTAATGGATGCAGAAATCTTTTAAGAAATAAAAGTTAAGGCTATTTTTCTAAACACTAATTTAATTTTCCAATAACTTAAGAAGGGATCTTATGTACACATTTTGTGTCTGTTTTGAAGCAAAAACTTGCATCTAAAATTCTACTATTTCTCAGCATACTCATTTGCCCATTTCCTTGAGAAAAATTTGAGTTACTCCTCTTTCACTTTATTGTCTTGAGTTATTATCTGACTACTGTAGTATCTTCTGTAGAGTGCTCTACGAGTTATCAAGAGTTTGAAGGCTCAAGAATACTGCTCTGGCTTTTGGAGCTCAGGGAATGAGTTCTCTTATATTTTTATGAGCCTCTAGGGTAGTCAAATAGCATTAGTTGCTTGTTAGTCATTAATATCAGTCTTCCTTCGAAATTTTCATACATTTATTAAGTCTCTCGATGGCAATATTTAGAGGAAAAATAGTTTACTCTCATTTTTCTTACTAAAAGGTCTAGATAAACCCGTACCAAGTCAGTTATTTTTGGAGAAAAATATGAAAAGTTTATTGCACAAAGTCTTTACACTGTAGAGAGGGCTCGCACAAGCTTAGCTTTGAGGCTAAGCTTGCCTGAGTCCTTTACTTGGTCATAAGGCCTTCTGCAGCCATCTTTTTTTGCAGCAATTTTTTCTTAAATTACTATCTCATTAGGTTCTATTAGGACAATTGTAGGAAAATAGTCAGAAGCCAGACTTGATTTCTCGGTGATATGTTAACTTACACTTTATAATACTTGTTAAAAGCTCAGATGTCACCAAGTAGTAGGAAAGTATACAATTTTTCGACCCTTGAAAGACCCTCAGAATCATGCATCCTCCATAAAGCTAGCTAGTGCTTCGCAGGGTGTTTTAGATACCGATTAGGGGTCCATTGGTCTGGTTATGGCAGTAAGCCCTAGGTTCAGCATCTACCACACAATTTGGAAATTAGAAGTAATTTTTCCCAAAAAAACTAGGATATAAGCAGCAAATTTCTCAGATAATTAATAATAAATTTTCATAATTTGTAAGTAAATGGAAATACCTTGGCTATTAATTTTCTTTGGAAGCTTACTTATGCAATGTATTTAGACGATGATTTCACAATCAGAAAGTCAGCTTGCCCCCTCTCAGGAGGTCCAGGCCCCAGTCATGACTGACATCACAGATATGCAACAACATATGGAGATGATGGTAAGTTCTTGGAATTTGTTGACCAATCTGTTAATGAATCGTACTAATTGGTGATATAGAAATCCCAGTTCTTCAATTTTGTCCCAACAACGAACGTGCTGGAAGATTATTGCCTCTGTGAAGCCCTTTACATGCAATATTTGGATTACTCCATGTACTCAGACTACTCTACTATGATTGGAGGGTCCCAGGACTTGCTGGTTCCTCAGAAGTCTTCACCTTCTGAGAAGATGGTTAGGAAGAGAAGAAGAAAGAACAATCTTCCTGACATTGACCCCCAAATCCAAGATGTTCTTAGTCTCATCCAGGAGGGAGAACTTTTGCAGATAGAGTTCACTTCTAAAAATGCTAATGCTCTTACTGTTGATAATTGCAGGAGAAGATCCAGATATACTGGAGTCTCCAGGAACGGCAAGAACTGGCAAGTCCTCGTCAACATGGGCAAGGAGAAGAAGTATATTGGTTCATATACTTCTGAGAAAGAGGCTGCCATCGCCTATGATTTCTACACAATTTGTCTCCACAAATCAAAGGCCAAGACCAACTTTAGCTATCATTCTGCTCTTATAGAGCAGATGATTAACTCTTATTATCAGAATGGGAAGGTATTCAACCCTACTTGCTTCGTTAGTAACGTCTAAGGAGCGGTTGGGAGAAGGCCTCCTATTTCACTATTAATTCTCAGTCATTTTATCCTTTATCATTCAACCACTGGCTCATTAAACGGGGTTTTGGGGTTTTGGGGTTTTGGGGTTTTGGGG